GTGGTTATATATAATAAACTACTTATTACTTGTACTACTTGTACTACTATTCCTACGTCGCGGTTTGTCACTTATCGCGGGGCTTCAGGGTACAGATCTCCCGCAATAAATGAGGGACTACTGTACAGTAATTTGTTTATGCTGCTCTTACATTCACATTTATCCCGAACACTTGCAGGTGTGTGAGACCCTGTGTGAACATTTTTGGTTCGAAACAATGTCTAGACTATAACTGGGCTAAATTTGGCCTAAAGTAAAAATTTAGTTATATTCTGGTGCCCAAGGTCGCAGGTACTCATCGGTATGGACCATGGAACACTTTGTCATCTGTACTCGCCACATGTTGGGCAGCTGTTTGATACAACCACCCAGCCTCACATAAACACACAACATGACCCCTGTAACACTACTGCTCCATTCTTAATGCTACCACTTATACTCTCTGGTGCATATTTTACATCTGCCCATTAACAAATGAACCCTCTACATTCATCACTGATATGCACGTTGTCTAAACTGCATCCGTGTCTTACCATTCCTTCCTGAATGTTCTGTCAGTTACCTCTTAAAAAGAGATTAAAATAAATGTATTTTCTTCTTTTGCCGACAGTTGTATTTAAGCTACATATTTACCAAGAGCACAGTTAACTCTAAATGACAAAATGCCAACTTTAACTTTTTTTTTTCTTTAAGTGATGACCTCCATGACGTAACAGTCCATCTGGGTGTGTACAGCCTGTCTCATATCAACCCCACTGAAGTGACTCGATCGCTTGATCGAATTATCTGCCATCCTGAATACAACGATTTTACCTTGGACAATGACATCTGTCTTCTGAAGCTGTCAGCTCCTGTGAATTTTACAGAAGCTATAAAACCAATCTGTCTGGCAGGAAAATACAGCACTTTCAATGATGGTCTTAGAAGCTGGATCACTGGTTTTGGCATGACTGGTAAGTTAGCCCACCTAAGGTTAATTTCCTTTAACAACAGTGTTTCTGAATATGAAACAAAACTCTTATTCTTTCAATTAGGGTCTGGATCACTATCCAACACTCTGCAAGAAGCAAAGGTACCGATAGTGGGAAACAACAGGTGCTCATGCTACTTAGAAGGCTTCTCTGAAATCACAAACAACATGATATGTGCTGGACTTAAAAATGGAGGCAAGGACTCATGTCAGGTGATTATCCTTTGTGTGTGTGTGTGTGTGTGTGTTTGAAAGGTCTTTTTAACTATAAAGTGAGGTAAAATACTTTTGGAAACTGGTCTTTGCATCTAATGCTACTTTAGGTTTCTTAATGTGTGGACTTGGTAAAATGATTTAAGTCATACATCAGAGTCAGAGTTTCTTTATTGTCATTCGCAACACATGTGGTACATATGGTGGAACGAGATTGTGTACTCAAAGTCCCAGTTACATCCAACAATCAAATGTCAAAGAAAAACAGTAATAAGAACTAAGATGAACTAAGAAAAACATCAGCTAAAAATACGCTAAGCACTAATAGCGTAAAAACAATACAGCGAACAGCAGCATGAACATGAGTCTGTGTGAGCAAATGAGTACGAATGAACACATCAACATGAAACAGATCAGCAGTAACATGATGTGATTTTTCACAATGATTATTCTGGTTAGAGATTCATGAGTCTAACAGCCACAGGGTATAAGCTGTTCCTCAGTCTAGTGGTTCTACACTTAATGCTCCTCAACCTGAGAGGAGCGAGGCAAAAAAGTGTGTGTGCTGGGTGAGTGGGGTCCTTCACGCTGCAGGTGGCCCTCTTCCTGCATCTAGAGGTGTAGATGTCTAGATGCATGTCTAACTAACTCAACAAATCTTTTCACAGCTATATATTTATAAGAGAGAAATCAAAATTATAGGTTAATATTTTTTTCAATACGACTAAAAAAAATTATGACATTTCATAATGGTCATTATTCTGAAGAAAGGACTCCATGGCAGTAACAACTGCCACCTGAGCTGAATTGTTCTAATCACTAAACACATCTTAACACTGACCCATTTATTTTGAATCACCTGGTGGGTCCAAACCTTTGTCTGGTACTATATAAAACTTTTCCTAATTGTCCCACAAGAACACAAGAACACAAGGCTTTGTGTATTGGCAAGCATGAAAATAAAACAGGTGTAATAGATCCTTTCGTTTAAATGCTGTACATGAGGTTTTTTCTTTGTTCTTCTCTTTTTACCAAGTACAATGAGAACTGAAAGTCTGAGTGCATCATGTTATATAATTCTTCAGCTCAGCTGGATTTAGTAGTGTCGCGTAAAAAAAGGCCATCCCACGACAGTCTACACAAAGGAAACACAAAACAACCATGCCATCCTGAACACACCCGATCTCATCTGAGCTTGGAAGCTATGCAGGGTCGGACCTGGTTAGTACTTGGATGGGAGACTGCCTGGGAATACCAGGTGCCAAAAGCTTTTTAGGGGCCGAGATGGTGTAGAGGTAAAGCAGCCAACCTGGGACCAGAAAGTCACAGGTTCAACTCCCTGCCATGTCCACATGCAGTGGTATCTTTGAGCAAGACACCTGCTCCCTAGGTGCCTACAAAGCTGCCACCTGGGTGTATCTCACATGTGATGGGTTAAATTCAAATAACTATTTTTGTCTGTATAGAAACTAGGGATGGGGCCGATCCGATCCAGTATCGGATCGGCCCCATCGTATATATTTTACGTATCGGATTTTCTGATCCACCTGTCGATATTTTCGATCCATGATGCATGTTGACTTCAAACTATGGAATGGATTTCCTGAACGGCGGCGTGTCTCATGAACCCAGAGTAATAAGACCCGCCTCACATTCTGGAAATCCATTTCATAGTTTGCAGCCAGCTACAACGTGAGGACTGAGTTAGCAGTAATGTGGTTAACAGCTAACCAACTTTTCATCTAAACATGTCCGCTGTGTGGAAATATTTTACTCTAGAAACACACAAAACAAGACAGCAACGTGCAATGTCTGCAGAGCCATAGCGCCACATTAAACCGCGGTGAAGTTAGTTTTACGATGGACATTCGAGCTCTGTGGTTTCAGCGGGGCGCTGCTCTTTGCTCAACACACAACAAGCGACTCGACCCCGGGCAGCCGCGTCCAATCTGCCCCGCTCAGTCTGCCCGTCTATGAGGAGGGACAGACTGAGCGTGGCTGCCCCAAATCAGGCTGCTTGCTTCGGATTGAACAAGAAAAAGGCATCGCTGAAACCACAGAGCTCAAATGTTTACAGAGAAGTTGCTAAACTTCATCATGATTCATGACCAACCACTATCAGTTGTAGAAAAAGAAAGATTTCACAGTTTGATATTTGCATCCAAGATATAGTTTAACCTCCAGGAGATATTTATCAGTACAACAGTAGGCAATCATAAAAAACATCCATCCATCCATCCATTATCTTTACCCGCTTATTCCATTTTGGGTCATGGGGGTCGCTGGTGCCCATGTCCAGCAATCACTGTGCGAGGGGCGGGGTACATCCTAGACAGGTCGCAAGTCCATCACAGGGACACATAGAGACAAACGAGACAAACAAACAACCATTCACTCTCTCACTCACACCTAGGGACAATTTAAAGTTACCAATCAGCCTTACATGTATGTTTTTGGTGTGTGGGAGGAAACCGGAGCACCCGGAGAAAACCCACGCATGCACGGAGAGAACATGCAAACTCCACCCAGAAGGCCCCTGGACCGGGGTTTGAACCAAGGACCTGCTCGCTGAGAGGCAGCAACTATACCAGTTGCGCCACCGTGCTGCCCATAAAAAAACATATGATTTGAAAATTATATTAAAAACAAAAACAGCTACCTAAACAAGTTAAATCTGGTCCTCTGGACATTCAAAAAAACAAAACAAAGCAAAACAACAAAAAAATGTAGAAACGTTTCGTCTCTCATCCGAGAGACTTCCTCAGTCTGAGGTGCTGTATTCAGCTCAGTCTCTTAAATAGCACCTTCTCAGAGTGGATCAACCAGTTTTGCTGCTGACAACCAAAACCAGCTGCTCACATGCTCAAGAAGGACCATCAGCCTAACGATGGATCATTAGCACACTGATGGCTGTTTACTATTCACGGCTATTGACCGTTTTCTGTACCACAGACTGTACCCAGGGGAGGCCACACCTAGTCTGTATGGTTTACCTAAAATCCACAAACAAGGTGTAACTTTAAGACCAATTGTTAGAATGATTAACTCTGTCACTTACAATGTTTCCAAATATCTGGAGTCTGTACTCATCCCTTTAGTTGGCAGCTCAGAACACCACATACAGAACACCATGGACTTTGTGGATAAGGTGAGGGATGTCATCATGGAGACTGATGAAACAATGGTCTCTTTTGATGTCACATCACTCTTTATGTGCATTCCTGTTGATGATGCAGTAGAGGTGGTCAGTTTAAAATTAAAATCAGACACCACTCTGAGCAGCAGGACCACGCTTTCCACAG